CATGCGCGATTCATTTGCCGTTTGGACGCACAGGTGTGAACGTCTTCTGCCCTGATAGCAGCTGGGGGAGGACTATCCTCCACCTGTGAGCGCTTTGGCACGGGCGGTGCCCAAGGCAGCGCCGCTGCTTGTTGAGCGTAAGAGCGATACGCGTTTTCACGTCAAAAAGTCGTCATAAATAAGTCTCCAATAATACCGGAAAAAGTCGCCAGATTTGTTGCTAGTCGCTTTTTAGAAAAAAAAGTCGCTAAGGGGGTCTGAAGAGTCGCTAAATATAGCGACAAAGTCGCTAAGTTGGCAACACTGGTTCCACCCTCTTACCCGTCCTTCCTTCAGAGGAGGAGTCTCTCATTCAAGGGAAGAGCTCACATGTTCCAGTCTTTCCCAGTGAGGAGTGCAGAGTCATCGTCTTCTCCTGTGTTTAAATAAACTGTAAGCTTTTATTTTATTTTTTTATTTCACACTTTAATTATTTAATGCATGTAGCAATAACACATATGCACAATGGTACTTTAACAATGCTAAAGTCTGTAATGTTTGTAAGTTGTTCGACTGGAACTTTTGTCTGTGAAGGTTCTCAGTCATCCAGGTCATCGTAGTCAACTTTTGGATCACTTCTCTTACTGAGACAAGTTTAAAATCAATGTGAGTACATTAAGTTTAAATCTAGGTTATTTCATATTACACTATGCTGATTGTTTACGTGTCAGCGGCTGAGAAAAATAGTTATAAATACTACATATAACAAAGTATTTTCACACTGTGATGCTTTGTGGAAGTTAAACACACCTGGCAAAGGGCCATTTTGGCTTTAGGGCTCTTCAGCACACAGCCTCTCTGTGCTGGTGTCATTAGTTTCGTTTCCTCTAAGGCTGGAATCAAATGGAAACTAAAAACTTAATTCAGCTTAATGAAATGAAAACAAGATGCATGATGAAAGGTGTGATACAGAGAGGATCCGACCTGACACCACACGCATCAGGAAGGATGAAGTCTGCAAATAAAACATGGTCTTTATTTACCTACACATTAGTAACTGCAACCAACTGCTGGCTGTGCCTGGCTTTAACGATCAGTCTCTCTCACGGCAGCAACTCTGGTATCCTGATATATCCTTTCACATCTTGTTAATGTATTTTTTTCCTTTTAAATGTATTTAAAACATTGTGTTCTACTGACTAAATTGAATTAAATTGTCATGATGTACGTAGATTTGGTTGAACCAAAATAAACGTATTACGTGGAAAACCTGCCATCAATCAAATTGAGTTCATCCAATGACTAATTTTTATGAGTGTAGGAGGCAAAAAGCTGACAGCGTGGCTCATATGGGTGAGTGAGGGTTCCTGCAACATGATTTGGTTTGATTTGCATGTCACTGAGTGAATGAAGCACAACAGTAGGATTGTGACACACGACCCACAGATGGACACTTCTGCGTGTGTCAGTTCAACAGTGCTTTATTTACAATCAGGACTGTCCCTGCAGTTTCTGGCTCCTGCCCCTCCGTCACTCCTGTTGTCACTCTGCCGCTTCTTCTCACTGCAAGACATAAGAAAAGTCTCTCCTCATCAAGTCATTTCCGCACACCTGTTCCTTCCCACCTCTGCACCGCCCTGCATCACCCCTCCTCTGCAGCAGGCCAAAGACCAAGCCCTCGCCACAGCGATGTTTCATATATTTGGTCACCAGGTTTCACACATCTCAGGAAGGATTTAGTCCCACTCCTTTTTACAGAAACTCTCTAAATCCTTCAGGTTTCTTCCCTGCTGACTGGCATCTTGAAGCTTCAGCTCTTCACAGATTTTCTATTCTGAGGTCCTGGACCTTAATTTACTTCTTCTTTAGCCACATCTGTGTTTCTTTGGGGTTATCCCCTGGGTCATTGTCATGTTGGAAGGCTTTATGGTGCACGGTCTTAATTGGCTCCTTGGTGCAAGGAAGTTGTCCTGTGCTCTAGAAAGAAAAAGACTCAAAAATAAGACTGTGCTTGCAATAAATTTAATAATACAATTGAAGATGTGACAGAAGAGTGCTAAGGTCTGCAGATCTACAAACATGCTGTGTTGCAACATGTTTGAAGGCAACTGGGACAGAGCCAGACATCAGAAAGGCATTAATTAGACCTATTAAAAACATCCTTGAGGAGACAGGGTAGGAAGCTGTCACCTTAACAGATCAGCACACATGCTGAACTATTTCAATTAAAAAGGAGAGAGACACCTGCTCAAAGTTCACAAAGAAAACTGGGCAAACAGGATGAACAACGTGATCTAAGACAGGATCTGAGGGGAAAGACCTGATAGGACAATTCGTTTTTTTGATTTTTTTAAATGTGGAAAAAATTTTCATATGTTTGCTGGGTTTTTCTCTGTATGTATTATTGTAGGGTCTACCTTACAATATAAAGCACCTTGAGGCATCTGTTGTTGGGATTTGTGTTATATAAATAAAACTGAATGAATTAAGAATAGAGTGCGATAGAAGTAGAATCCCAAAGCAGCTTAAATAGCTCTACAATCTGAAAATCTCCTGTGGTGTTCTGTTCTAGAGCAAAGCTGCAGCAGGCCGTAGAGGAGTGTGCTGATGGATTCGCCAAACCAAGCAGCTTGCTCAGCAGGTAGGAGCCAGAAGGCTATTTGACAAGATGTAAGTAAGACAAATAAACATGAAACAAAAAAGTCTTCTTAGAATAATAGAGCACTCTGCACTTCGTGTACAGACATTGTTTATGGTTTATTCACCAAAATACATAAACATACATACATGAGAGAGTTAAAGTTGGCACAGTTAAATAAGGCAACCTTTTTAAAAATAACTACATATTAGTTGAAGCAGCCATAGGGCACCGAGAAGCACTGTGTAGGGACCGTACCTTGCTCAGGGGTACCTAGGGTACTTATTGAGTGGATTCAAACCCCCAACCTTCCGATCACGGGGCCGCCACTCTACCTACTGAGCTATCCCTGCCCGTGTTTGTTAGCAGTTAAATTCTTTTTCTATAAAACGAGTAACTGTGTATTAAATTTCAGTGAAATCTAATTTATGTTTATTTACCTTTTATTTAATAGGGACAGTTCACTTTAACATAAGTACTTAGGTGCATCATGAATAAATACCCCGTTTTCTGCTGTGCAGGCTGATTTTTTTTATCTGCAGTTACTGGCAAGTTGACTGGAATTTATTGACAGTAATAATTCATAGATAAGAGCCAGAAGTACATGAACAGCAAAAGAAAGACCTACCTGTGTAACACATTAAATATTACATTAAATATATTTTAAATGTAAAATAATGTGAAGTTTTTGGGTCTCATCCATATGAAAATTAAATGCAAGGACTCCAGCACAAATCATTATGTGCGTGTGGTGTCATATCATTATTTTCATGCCTTTTTCTAAAGTTACTTGTTAATTTTCTGCTTTCTATAGTTGTGTAAAGCACTTTGAGTGCTTGGGTAAAGTAGAAAAACACTGTATAAGAACTGTCTATTTACCATTTGCCAAAAAGAAGTGGGATACACTTATAATATAAATCCTTTATTTAGCTATGGACTGACTAAAACTGGTACTATCAAGGTTAGACTGGCCTGCTGCAAGGTTCACTTTGATAAACTCCTGTAACACTGAACTAGTTTATCTGTTAAAATAATGATACATATAAGCAGACTTCACTACACTGGAGGTTTGCAGAGGCTACTCATAGAGAGTTAACTGTTAAATCTATGTTGGCTGAGCTGACTGACTGAGTTACTAAACTTGTTATTTCAAAAACAAATCAACTATTTAAACAAACAAAACAAAAACAAATTCTTCATTTCAGTTTATTATATTTCTTTCCACAGAGAAGGAGCTTGCCAGAATGCGAACACAGTTTGTGGAGAGGGTGACAGCAGAAAATCTCACACAGCTACTTGAAGCCCTTGTAACAGACAATGTCTTGAATCAGTTGGAGAAAGAAAGGATACAGGAAATAAACCAAACTAGAGCAAACAAGGCACGCGACTTCATTGACATCGTGAAGAAAAAGGGAGAAAAAGCCTGCAGGATAATGATCAGTCACCTTCGAACCATTGATCCTACAGTTTACTGTCAGCTAGGTTTGTCCTCTGGGCCATCTGTTCATTTAGGTGAGATCAAATATTTTGTTATTAATATATTATTGCGTTATTTGTTAGAGCACTAACCTTTGTCTGGTGTGTGTGTGTGTGTGTGTGTGTGTGTGTGTGTGTGTGTGTGTGTGTGTGTGTGTGTGTGTGTGTGTGTGTGTCCATCCATTTATGTTTAACCATTTCCAGTTTAGAAATTTCCCCTGGAGAAGTGATCTGACTCTAATCCATTCTTGAGTTGCCCTCTTTGGCTTTTAGGTCCCGGTTCACTGATAATTTCCCGATGAATGAAAATGATGTTTCCTTATGAGGGATTGTCCTGAAATGCCTTTTATGGTGCTAAAACCTACTCCAGCTGGGGACTTCATTGTACTTCCCTTGGATTTTACTGTTCATATACTATTTTTATATTTTACTGGGAGGAATGGCCTGTCCAATCTGAACTTGAATTGTGTTCTCTTATTGGACTGTTGTGGTTATCAGACTTTATCTATGAGGAACAGAACAGTGTTCACCATCTGGAGGACACCCAGGTCCAGGACAGTTGTAGGCAAGCCAAGAGGCTAAAAGAATAAAACTGTGGATACAAGTAACGGAAACTGGCATCCTCCCTCATGGGCTTTGCTTTAAAAAAGCCTTTTTTGCTTTTAAATGTGCTATAGAATTAAAATTTATATTAACATTAAGTGGAAATCATGTCTCTATCTTAAATTTATGTTGTAGGTACATTACAACTGCAAACCTTTCCGAAACCCCACACTATAACTTAAGCCATAACTTCATATGCATCTCCCTAAAAATGTACCTACAACTTGTGCTGATGCAGCCTGCAACTACTGTGATTGGTCCATTTATTACTGTTGTTAACCTCTACGTATTTTTGGAGAAGTGGAAACTTTTGCATTTGCACAGTCTATATACACGCTGGAAATAGTACTGGCCACTTGCAAAGTTTACATTGTAGAATCTACAGACGTGTAGATCATGTATATGCATGCACCATCATCAGGGTTTGGCTGGGAAAGCCTTGATGTCTCCACAAAAGAGCTTAAGGTGATGGTGGGATGAGCATTTCCACTTAGACTGCCCCCATGGTTTGGACCTAGATAGGTGGCACAAAATAGATGGATGGACAACAAAAAAAGCTCATCCGAAATTGAATAAAACAACCACAACAGTCCAAAAATCATACATATTTGTGTGTTTCTATTAGCAGCACTTGACAAGTGTCATCTTAAATTTAAATCTACTCTGAAGAACAAGTTCCAGCGTGTGTTTGAATACACAAAATGTTGTTTCTCTATTCTTTTAGGATTCTCCAGCATGTGTCAGAATAAAATTAAATCTAACCTGAAGAAGTTCCAGTGTGTGTTTGAGGGAATTGCTAAAGCCGGAAATCCAACCCTTCTGAATCAGATCTACACAGAGCTCTACATCACAGAGGGAGGGACTGCAGAGGTCAATCAAGAACATGAGGTCAGACAAATTGAAACAGCATCAAGAAAACCACACAGACCAGAAACAATAAGATTAGAAGACATCTTTAAAGGCCCACCTGGAAAAGAACAACCAGTCAGAAAAGTACTAACTATGGGAGGGGCTGGCTTTGGGAAAACTTTGTTAACACAGAAGTTCACTCTGGACTGGGCTGAAGACAAAACCAACCAGGACATCCAGTTCATATTTCCATTCCCTTTCAGAGAGCTGAATGTGCTGAAGGAGAAAAAGTTCAGCTTGGTGGAACTTATTCATCGCTTCTTTATTGAAACCAAAGAAGCAGGAATCTGCAGCTTTGAAGACTTCCAGGTTGTGTTCATCTTTGATGGTCTGGATGAGTGTCGACTTCCTCTAGACTTCCACAATACAGAAATCCTGACTGACCCCAGAGAGTCCACTTCTGTGGTTTTGCTACTAACAAACCTCATCAAGAGCAACCTGCTTCCCTCTGCTCACCTCTGGATAACCACACGACCTGCAGCAGCCAATCAGATCCCTTCTGACTGTGTTGACATGGTGACAGAAATCAGAGGGTTCACTGACCCACAGAAGGAGGAATACTTCAAGAAGAGATTCGCTAATGAGAAGCGGTCCAGGAGCATCATCTCTCACATCAAGACATCACAAAGCCTCCACATTATGTGCCACATCCCAGTCTTCTGCTGGATCACTGCTACAGTTCTGGAGCACATGTTGAGAACCACAGAGGTGAGAAAGCTACCCAAGACCCTGACTGAGATGTACATCCACTTCTTGGTGGTTCAGGTCAAAGTGAAAAAGGTCAAGTATGATGGAGGAGTTGAGACAGATCCACACTGGAGTCCAGAGAGCAGG